TTTAAATAAAGGGCAGAATGATTTTTGTCTGCCTCTCTGGGCTCAGCCATCTATACATTACAGATTCCAGCTATTTGCTCCAGCAAACAAAACACTTTTAGAGGTACTTTTTAATACCAAACGCGGTGGCGGTTATCATTTCTCCCCTTGAAGAAAAAGTACTCATTCTGTCAGCCCTGCCTCTCCATCCGCACTCCTGCCTACTGGAGGAACGCTGTTCCTCGCTTAATCCTGCCCGGCCTCACCCACTCATGCGTCTCCTCATTCAGTGTAATCTCAGGATGCTGTCTGAGATTGTTTGAAGAGATCAAGTCTGCAGCAGATGCTGCGGGGGTAAAATTGATGGAGCTCATTCCGGAATGATTAGCTGAAGCTGGCCAGGGCTTTGTCTTCTGTATCTCCAAAACAGCTTAAGCAAATTCTCAGCTGCCTAGTACGCCAACTTGCCTCCGATAAATAAATCAATAATAAAAATATAGCCCAGCGGTGAAGGAAATCTGCTGTTATGTCACGATGTGTTCAAACCTCAGACCTCTCCATACAGATATGATTATATCTACTGTCTAATAAAACCTACTTATGCATGGCTAGAGTGTTATAATTAAGCAGTAGCATGCTGCAGTTATTGTGTTTTATTTTTCTTTTATAGTAAACAGGAGCTTTCAGAAATGAAATGGATTGCTAGCTGTTAGGTGTTTCTCCCATGCTTAGCAATGTCTGAGTGTCCCAGTCCCTCTCATATTTTCTCAATGGTTGTGTTTTATTATATTTTGATGCTGGTTCTCCCTCAGTCCTTCACTGTTGGGTTAAAGGGGGCGTGGCATTCGAAGGAGGGGCTCTCTTTAAATAGCTATTAGGAAGATAGATTTCGCAAGCATTATGCAGAGCTAATCTGCAGATTTAGGAGAGTGGGAGGCTCAGTAAGTGTGTAAAAAAAGAGTCGAAAATAGGAAAGATTGAACACATTGTGAACACCTGTGTGATCACCGGCGTGATGGTAGGCAATAGTGGGCCCCCAGGTGTGCAGTGCAGTGTGTAATGCAGTGAAGATGCAGGACAAGTCCTGCCTCTACTGATGCAGTGTGTTAGTAAAATCATTTACTGTACTTCAATAGCAGGAAGATATTGCACTGCTATAAAAGACCTATTCTTCAGAATGGAGGGCGCCATGTATGTCCTTTGAATGTTTACCCAGCTAAAGATTTTGTGTCTCAGTGGCAGAATGACTTATTTTTGCTATTGATTTCTCATAATTAAAACACAAACTGAGCTGTAATTCCAACAGAAAGCGAATTCTTAATTTCTATCAAATTATGTGGAAGAATGGACTTGCTATGCTTGGATGACCGGAGCAGATAGCTTCGAAATGGCACGGTTTGACGACGGAGATCACCTAGTCACATAATCGGTCTGTAATGAAGATTAGCAGTTGTGGTGACATTTATACTTAATGGTGTCACAGGGAAGAGGGAAGGTCACGGACTGTGTGCACATTAATAATTTAATAATTAAAAAGAATACAATGACAAACATGGTAGTTTTGAAACACAGAGCACAGAAGTTGAGCTATTGTCTCTGTATGTCTGATAGATCTGTTTTCACTGAGAACCTGAATAACATGCTGAGGTTAGGTCAGTAAGTTGCCCGGATATGAAACGGTTTTTAATGTTCGTTAATGAGCAGACGTCCAGAACAAAGTGTCCCCTGGAAATGACACAACGTTCTCCCATGACTACCTGCCTTGCTATGAAGTGGAGGGTCATCGGGTGTCACGTGTAGCTAAATCGACACTCTGCGGCCCAGAGTGAAACACTTGAATAATGAATGAGCAGTGTGGAAGGGGCCTGGGGGAGTGCGAGAGCTTCTCCTCTGATGGTGTGTGTTTTCCTCCGTGCAGATGGTGTAAGAGGTGGAGGAGGCAGCACACGTCTGGCAGCGGCGTGCCAGGCTGCGCGGCCGGCAGCTAGATTGCTCTGACATCTCATCGCCCCAAAGCAGAGATGTCAACAGGAAGCACCCCTGCGTCTCCGTGCTGATGCCAGGTATCTGTACTATTCCTGACAGTACAGGAGACTAACGTTTACTGTGGGTTGCCTCTTCAAGGACGGCACCTTTATTTATACGAGTAAGAGGGTGTGTTGGAAAATAGGTTTTGGCAGCTATTTTTCAGGAGCTGCAAAACACAGATAAATACTTTGTAAGGAGATTGTCTATATGCAGTGGAAGGTGTGGCTATTACATTAACCCTTAATCAAAGTGAGTTTCAGTAATTGGATTAAATAAGTTTGGACGAATGGAGATAAAGAAGCTATACTGTAGGTCAGTCCGTTCGTATTTCTTATTATGTGCATTTTTTTCATCTTCAGGTATTACAGCATTCGTCGAGGTCCATCATCGGTTCTCAGCCATCTGCTGTTGTGCCTGACACATGCTGCACACACGCGTAACTGACGAATGAGAATGGAAATGCATGAAGTTATATATTAGAAACTACTCGCAGTCAGGTGAGGTCAGAGAATGACCTGCAACTGGGTTTGAATCTACTGTCTCAAATTACAGGAGATGTTCCATAAGAGCTTTGGTTTATGCAGATAGTCAAGTATAGTTAGACGTGGAAATTTCAGGTCCAGAAGTTAAAAACCCAGACTCAGCTGACTATAAAGAGTCACAATCACAGCGTTCTCAACTGGTTGGTTGAAACAAAATCTTAGTCTGCGTTTTTACTTTCTGGACCTGAAATTTCCACCTTTCGATAGAGTAGAGTGCAGTATATGGGTATAATGCATAATAAAGGCAATAAGATGTTACTGTAATTTTATTTTTTAGACTGATATTTTGTTTCCTTGTTTTAATTTTGATTTTGCCTAATGTTGTGTCTGTTCTTGTACCAGAATGTATTGGCTGCTACCAGGACCAATGAAAGGGCTACTCCTTCAAAGCAGTTTCTTATGCTATTTACAGCTCCATGAGGGGCAACTGCGGAACATAATACTCAGCAGCCGCAAGGCAAAACAAACATGTAGCAAAATTATGTGAACTATAAACTGTGACCATCCACGTCTGCAGATCTCAGTCTAAGTGAAGATGTGTAGGAGATCCTGATGGAGAGCTTCAGATCGTGTTTCACACCAACATCATTTAGTCACCAAATGATGGAATTTATCACAGAAGAATAGCATTGTGTCTCTCTAATAGCGGTCCAGATACATGTATATTCTATTCCGAGGCATATTAAAGCTGTTGTAGCTTGTTGTTGTAGCATTCTGTCATATTAAGAATATTTATATTGCCATTTCTTTTATTGTTGTGATCACCTGTAGACAGAGGTGGAGATTTCAGGTCCAGAAAGGAAAAATCCAGACCAAGATTGTGTTTCACCCAGCCAGTTGAGTACTCTGTGACAGTGACTCTTTATACTCAGTTGGTTGGCTGAAACAAAGTCTTGGTCTAGAGTTTAACATTCTGGATCTGAAATGTCCACCTCTGCCTATAGATGCAATAGGTTAAGGGATTATTTAAGCAGTAATAGCCTGGTGCTACAAGCTAACTATATTCCTGCTCTAATATTTCAGTGTTGAAGGCTATGTGCAGGAATGCACCGATGTTCTTCCTTAATACCAGTCTTACAGTTCACATTGAGAATTTAAAAACATTTCATAATTTTTTTCTATTAATTACCATCTTCTGGTGCCTTTAAATAGCAACCCAGCAGTGTGTATCATAGACATTTGCTCTGGAAGCTGTGTATAGGTTCATATGGATAAGTCCTGTAATTTACTGGGGAGAACCTGAAAGAATTCTATTGGATGAACCATTATTTTATGTGGCTCTTGGGCTGTGTGTAAAGTACTGTCTGACAGAGCAGTAGATCACCTTGGGGCCACTCAGAAGTCTGAGTTTAGCTATACTAACCATAACAGACCGTGACTGAGTTCATGTCGAGCTGCTGATTTTGTATTTTGGTACTGAGGCATCCAAAAATCAATGTCAGTTGATTTCAGGGGTACCCATGGGCTAAAATTGCACCCTTTTATAAGAGCAGATAGAACAGCTTTCTTTAATTCCCCAGTTTTATGCTGTTTCTTGTCACTGCAGTTTGAGAACTTTGCAGCTAGTGTTGCCCCTTGTCTTCTCTGGAGCGTGCTTCACGGCGTCGTCCAGTGCTTACACCTCGATATGGCTGTCAGTATGAGGGTTAGTGAAGTGTCAGCTGAGTGGAATGTGTTTTCACGCTATCGCGTCGCTGGTAGGAAATGCTTTTTATCACGCCCCGTTATGACCCCAGTCAATCTATCAACTGGGCCTGTGGTGTACGTCTTGCATAAAAAATGCTCTTCTCATTGGAGCAGAAGCCAATGCAGCAAGATGACAGACTTACCCCCAGGCTGTGTCCTTTATTCAGAGAAACTCCTTCACTATAGTCTGGACAGCACTGTCTGATGTACTGTAGATGCAGTGTAGCCCCTCTGCCTGACCCTTGATGAATGCTGCAGTTAATTATCATGTATAAATTATGTTGGCTTACATGGAGTTGACTAGAGTAGGTCTGCTGGTAGAGAGTGTTGTGAGGTCATTTGAGGTATAGAAATAGTATATAGAGATATGCAGATAGGCATGGTAGTAAATATAGAACAGAAATTTTATGTGGATGTATAGATGTAGGTGGTGATATAGAATATATGGAGAACCACTGGCCAAGTTAACAAACTGGAGGGCTCTGACCCCCCAAGGTGAAACATGTAAATGTGTCCCATTTAACTTATTTCAGGAAATTGTGGTGAAATGGCAGAAGTATCGAAAGAGACAGCAGTACTGATCTCACACGGAACATCTTTCGTGCCTCACACTCCAAAAGGGCTATCGGTGCTAAATTAAAGACAGAGACCTAAAGGCATCAGCGACACGGTCCGAGTCTTTTGTGAATAGGACTGTCGCCTCTGCCGTCTCGCGTGATTCACACCTTCGTCGGAGAAGCAGGAAGAAAGTCAGGAGACAGAGCAGGCATTTTAAAAGGAGGGGACTTTATTTATAACACAAGAGACCTGGTGTCAAGCCACCATATCAGCATTTATTTTACACCATTAATCAGCAAGGCTGCTCATGTATTTGGAACCAAGGTTGCAGTGGCACTAAAAACACACGCTTAAAACAAACTCTTTCCCTTTTTAGTTATACCTTTTTTTTTTCTAATTTTTTGGTACAAAATTATACAAACAACAATACAAAATATTTGTGCTGTTGACAGTTTACAAAAAAAAGTCTGTAACTTGTTAACTGTGCAATGATTGTGTTTTTTTACTTGTATGTCTGTTAGTCTTCTTTTATATTAATGTCAGTATGGTACAGCTCAGAATTTCTTCTGAAAACAACCACGATCATGCGGGTTGCTACATCTTTTTTTTTTTTCTTTTCAATTTCCAGTATGATCATAATTATGTAATTACTTTGTCCATTATAAAAAGACACATGCAAAAAAAGTTCCAATTGTACATGTATATTTGCCTAACTTGATCTTTTAGCTTCAAGCAATTACTACATTATGTACACACAAAAGTGAGTAACATTGGGTGACTCCAATTAGACAATTTCTTAAACTTTGAAGAGGGAGTTTCCTTCTGGCTGACCTCAGCCGCCAAGGAAGGGGAGTCCCTGGGTGTCTCCGTCTGCACACCGTATGATCTGTAGTGGGGGGGTGATCAGTTGTCCACATGCACTGACACTCTTGCATGTCTGTGCAATGTACTGGAGTGATATGTCAGGGTGGGGGTTGGCTGTGTTGGAATTCATGATCGTGATAAAGTATGAGAAAACTTGTTTGAATGGGTGCTCAAATGAAGAGTGTGGTTTCTGTGTTAGATAAGATCTTACACCCCAAAATAAATTCTAAGTAAAGGAACCTACGATACCATTGGACTGTGGCTCTTTATCTTTATTTCTTTAGTTATGTATTTGCTAGTTACTTGCTTACTTCTTTAACTTCTTCACCCAGATTTATTTTATTTTCTTTCATACCACAGGAAGCTTTCTGAAGATGCCACCTCCACTCCTTTGATTTTTAACCCATGCACCTTTCCTGCAAAAGTCAAAAGTCACTCTTGCCTGGTTCAATAGATGGGGGGTAATTGTTTGACATGGCACCCTACTCTGATAACACAAACACTGATATTATGCTGTGTTCCATTTACTACGTTGGTCGGATGCTGGAGCTGGGAATGACTAGAGTCACACTAGAGTTAACCGCTTTCCAGTTCAGCAGGTCGGAAAGCCATTTAGCAGTACCAGGGACCCATATGAAGAAGCAATAATTTGTCGGGTTTAATTTACCTCAGTTTAAATGCCGTTTATCTTCGTACACTTACATCTAGCCCAAACTACCTTAAATCTGGCAAAGCAAGAAATCCTGCGTTCTGTAACAGGCCTCAGTTCTAGCCCGGTTAATTGTTAGCCATTGTTAGCAATATCAGTTCATAACAACACATTATGCGTTATTTTGCGCATAAAAACACCATAGCAACATGTCCACAGATTGTGGTCAGACAGTGCTATGAGAACAACGATTTAATGGGCCACAAATAAGACGTAATTGCTAATACACAGTAGATAACTACAGTTTTAACTTCTGTTGATAAAGGGCACAGCCATCTTGAATTCTGAGGTCAGGGTTATGTAGATTTCTCCAACTTTCCAAGTAGGAAGTCCGACTTCAGGGGGAGTTCCAGTTGAAATTTTGGAAAATTTTTGTGTTCCGTCGTATTAAGAATGGGAGAGCTGGCAGACTCATATTGATTGGGAAATGGTCAGTAATGTTTTTGTCCTGAGAAGGGCAAGACGTGCCGGACACGTCTAGCCTCCATGGTCATTAAAGCTGTTATTACTGAAACTGAATATATGAATAAAAAGACAATTTTACTCAACTCTTGCCAACAAAGTTAGTTAAGCAGACGTGACCTTTTAACTGCTGACTTCCTAATAAATGGTGCAAAGTATGAGCTGAGAGATGAGAGAGAAGCTCTCATCTACTGATTTGCTTCAGACAAAATGCATATATGTATTTGCCTAATGAGGTACTTCTTAATCAAAGCATATTTTCCTTGGAAAGCATGGTTGCAAAGGTCAAGCAAGGTATTATAAAAGAACATGGGAATCTGTATTATTTAGCAAAGCACAGAAATGCAAGTAACACGGAACACATTTTATAGGGTCAAGATAAAAGTCAAATACACAGGCAGAAATATAGTGGGGGAAAAAAAATCATAGAATAAGTTAATTAACACGAGCTTCTTCTTGAATTCATTAAGGCTTACGCAGTCCTTACTGCGTGTTCTGGGGCAGGTCGGCAACTTAACAAAGACGGTTTACTGTCAGAGAGGGCTCAATTAAAACGAAAGAGGACCACTCTTCTGAGGAGCGTTCAATGCCTACCTGGGGATATACTATCTCTTCCATGGCCTAGGGACGGATTTCACACTCAGCATGTTGCTGCGGAAGTGAAGTGTGGTGCAGATACCTGTCTGCACAGAATTTAAAGTAGGCAAGGGTACTAAATTTACCTGTGTATTTAGAGGTCCTGGACGATCCACTTTCTCTGCGCCACTACTTCCAACAATAAGAGAGTGTATAGTATAACGACAGATAAGCATGAAGCTTCAGGTTCAGATGTATTTTTGGGAACTGATGGCAGCTATTAGAGTTAACAACGAAACGATACACTGGATAGAATGTCTGAGAGAATGTACAAAAAAGTACAAAAGCCGCTAATGGATTGTCTAAAAAAGTTTATATACACGGCATGGTTCTTTTTTTTTTTTTTTTAAAGACGTAAATAATATATGAAAACGACTATTTACCCAGTACATGCATTAAAATACACTGCATCATAGAAAAAAAGAAAAAGAATATATCAAAAAGCCATCAAGCAGTGTTGTCAGCCTTGCTTTCGCCTCCCTGTCTGTTACACAACCGCTGAACTGTTATAGAGCGATAAGATTGTGTTGGCGGTGCTCGCGGTGACAATGCGGTGACATGCCGTTGCTTGGCTACCACGAGGCATTGTCGTACCACAGCGGTGTCCCTGCTTCACCCAGCTCTGCCCCTGTGGCACTTCATTAACCAGACTTTTTAAGACGCTCCTGTAAGACCGCTGGGAGCTTCCCCTGAGCTCCACAATACCCATTCAGCGCCCCCTCGCCTTGCTCCGTCAGACATTTTCGTCTGTTTCAGTCAAAAAGTAGAATTATGAAGAAGGAGGTCAAGGCGGCACTGGTGCAGAAACCGGGCTCTGCCTTAATGGCGAGAGTCCGCCCATTTCTCATTGGTGATTTAGGGTCCTTTTAGCTAAAGAGATTATCTCCGGGGATTAATCATCTGCTTAATTTGCAGATAAACTGCTGGTGGAATAAAACCCCCTATTTCCTCATCAATCTAATTGAAACCACTGTGCCGGAATGAGAATCTTCTTAGCTCAACGACCATAGCCAACAAGGGGCTTCCATGGGAGTCTCCAGTCGAAATGACACTTTTTACTCCTCCCCCATATCGTTACTCTATATAACACGTCACACACAGACAAAACAGCTACTCACGAAAATCACGCGAAGACGGCCGAGGGTCGGGGGCGGCGTACGACGGCTCCCGCCCTGCTGGGCCGTGGCTTCTCGCTCACCCGTCCTCAGCCTGCCCCCGGAGCAGAGCTCGAAACAGAACGAAGGAGGGCATCTACGAAGAAGTTATCTTACGGGGGTGAGTGGGTGAGTGGACATAACCACAGGAATGGAAAACTGAGAGACGCATGAAAAGAATTTGCATATAATATAGTTAAAGCGCTTTAGTCTTGTTTCCACCACAGCTCACTGAGGATGTCGAGCTCTAATCATCAGAATGGCTATTCATGGGTATTGTGGTCCTTGCAAGAGGACAGAATGGCTCTTTATGGGCACTATAGTCATTGTGATAGACAGTATCAATGACTAGGGCCAGCTTAACTCCGACGGTAAGGTACGGCTATTTCGATTGTGTGCAACCAGCATTTTAGATGAGAAGAGAGAATTCCTTCACCGGTGCCAACCATAACGAGTTATTGGCTGCCTCAGAACAGAAGGGGACATTAGCTTGGTGAGTTCAGAAGGCGAAAAAACGTGTCAGCAGGGGTGTATAAAATCGATTCGTTTTGTATACCGACCTCCCAAATATCCGTTAGGCAGTCAAAGATGTGAACGACCAGCCGTGAGAGGATGCTATCGGTAAAAGTCCGGTAAAAGGCTATTCTAGAGGGTCTTCCGAACGTTTGGAAATTGTATTGTACATTTGTCCCATTTTCCCGTTACAGTGTGATTGTTCTCAGACCTCCTTCACCTGACCAGTTATCAATACTATAATGAGACCTTTTAAGGATAGCAGGGTCATGCATTTTTCTAACTGATATACCAAAAACACACTTTTTCTATAGAAAAAAGCCATCCTCCTTTTTCTTTTTTTAGAAAGCAGTTCAGGCCTTTACAAAAGGAGAGACCTGCACCTATGCTCTGTCAGCGGGAGCACGGAGTGCAAAGCGACAGAGATACGGTTTGCACCTTTATACCCTACAGGCTGGCTGTCTCAGGCTGGATGCTCCTATTTCAAACACTCCCACTAACAAGTCACTATTATCTGCAAAATCCCAATGAGCTTCTTTTGTTTGCCGCCATCAAAAAGGCAACCGGACAGCAACTATCATTGAATTTTGTTTTACTTCCCCGTGTTGCAGAGTCTTTTGGGATGAGTGTGTGGTTGGGGGCTGGGTGGGGTGGGGTGGGGGGCTTGCTAGCGTGCCACACAAAGCCATTCCAGTGGCTACCGATCCTGAGATAGTGGGAGTCCGATAAAACACACCAAAAAGGCACTTTCTTTAACAACAGTGCTTCTGTTCTAAGGAATTCAAGTTACGTTAAGAAAGAGTGCCTCTTCACACACTCTAGTGATGAAAAAATACACCCCCCCTGCAGTGCGGGGAGTGTGTGTATGGGCTGGGGCTGGGAAGAAGGGGGCCATATGCTTTCCCGTGCTAGTAGACAGCTTTCATCTACGATGACTGGAAATTAATGTAGACTAAATGGAAACGAACAGAAAAATTTGCCGCCAAAAGAAAGAAAATGAACAAAGAAAATAATGAAAAGAATTTTTGAGTTACAGTCAGCTGGAGGGGAAAAATTACGAAGCTGCCTCTTTGTACAGTCCTCACTGGTGCCCAAATCGGTAGTGTGGCTTGGTTTCTGTCTGTGGCAGTGGGCGCCGCTGAGCCGCCCGAGGCCTAGTCATCGTCGCCGCCGCCGTACATGTCGGCCAGCTTCTTGAAGCGCGGGCCCCAGTCGTTCAGGTAGTCGTAGTCCTGGTCGCCGGTGCTGGAGGAGTTCAGAGAGCTGACCGAGCCTGCCGTAGAGCCGCTGCCCTCGTAATCGAAGACCAGCAGCGAGTCGTAGGGAGGCGCTGTGGGGTCGTTGTCAGCCGCTCTCAGGCCCTGCAGTGCAACGGCACATAGATGGCGCAGCTTGAGACTCAGGTTTAGACCCCAGTTTGCTCCACTGGATGTGGCATCCATTTCCGATATTACTCAGTGTATTAAGATTATTAAGAATGTGTGTTGTATTGTGTATTTGTTGTTGTGGATGGAACATTTGCAGAGATGGGGGTTCGAGCCCCACCGCTGCTGAGTGTGGACAGTCTACATGCTCTCCCTTCCTCTGGATACTACAGTTTCCTTTAACAGCCCAAACAAATTGTCACTCAAAAAATCTTCAAAAATCCATTATATCAGGAAGCGGGAAAATGCGTATTTTCCCAGAAACTACTTACAAAATAAGCCTAAAGCTATGTAATGAGTCACCCTTAGCACCGCAAATAGAAACCTGTCTTTACACAGTCAGAAGTGAATGGTTTAATGTTTGAAATGGACTTACAGTACATGGGTTTTTGTCAGTGAGGAAAATATGTCAGTGAAAACAAGAGACGATAACTTCATAAAATATCTTTTTCATCAGGATTTTCATCAGATAGTAATGATATGTAAATTTATGAACTGGTATTTTGAATTTGCCCATAATGTGTGTGTACCCTGTGATGGACAGACATCCAGGGTGTCCCCTGTCCAGTACGCTGTATGCACTGGGATAGGCTACAGGCCCTCTGTGACTCTCACATGAGAATATGATTGTCAGATGGATGGAAAATTATCACTTTAATTCTATTCACTGTCACACCGTGTCTATTCACTGTAACATTCTGTTACTTTCCGAAAAGACCATAGTCCTCCAGAGGGTTAAAAAAGCACCAAACCTCAGTTATAGACAGCAGTTAAACTTTAAGCGGTTTGTTGAATCACAGTGCTGTAAAAAGTCTTTGTACAGCCCTGTGAAAATGATATATATACGTGCTGAAATGCATATGAAATTGCTGTGATTCAGTGATTCAGATTGTTTACAGGAGTCTGAGCCCTAGAATCCAGCCTCTTCTTCACCTGGTTGCAGCTGATGCCACATTGCAGAGGGAAACACTGGCTGGAGTACTGGGGCGGTGGGCTGGGAGACCTTTGGCAGATGCTGGAGGCCAGTATCGCCACTCGGGGCAGCCCCACAGCAAAGACACCTATGTAGGCACCATATGTGGTGCATATGAGGTGGCTGGCGATGCGAGTGGGAGGCGGCTTGGTGCAGCTGCTGCCGTCAGGTGTGCGCAGGCCATGTGACCGTGTCGCGTCACCCTAACCCTAAACCTAACCCTAACCCTAAACCTAACCCTAACCCTAACCCACTGAAGCACCTGCTGTTCATACGTCTGCATGCTGTGCATGAGCGCTGTGTGCCTGTGCTTCCTAACCATCAGCCCAGCAAAGACACACATCTGTACTCTGCTGCCAAACTGTGGCGTTCAGACTCTACAGCATGGAGATATGGGGAATATGGCTATAGATGGAGGGATGGATGATGGATGGATAGATGGATGGATGGAACGTTATCAGTATAACTCCATTTAGGAAAAATAATACTGTTACATTTGAGAGAGACCATGTTCTTCCAAAGAATTAAAACATTTCTACAAACAGCAGTTACACTTTAAGCGAGGGGCGGGGAACCTGTTCCATGGAGGGCCAGTGTAGGAGCTAGTTGATTGGATGACCTCCCAATCAGCCAATAATAATCCAGTGGTTCTCAACTTCAGTCCTGTGGACCCACTGTTATTGGCTGATTGAGAGGTCTTCCAAAAAACCTGCATTCACATTGGCCCCCCCATGGAGCAGGTTCCCCACCCCTGCATTAAGCCAGGCCTCTTCAAAATCCAAATCCAAATTTCAGTTCTCCCAGACAGTTAGTTTAATAATTACTGATTCTGATTGGAAAATCAGCAGTGCTCGGACCTTGAGGACCATGGTTTGAATAGCTCTGCTTTATGCAGTTGAATTGCAATAATATAAACAGGTTTTACGTCACAACGATAAACAGTCAAACTAATAGGGAAAGGCTATGATTTGGAGCTCAGGTCCCACACCTCGCTTATGAAATCCCCGATGTCCCCTGGGTGCGGAACCACTGGCCGGATGGGGTACTGCGACTCCGGAACCACGGGCCTCTCGTCGACCCGCCGGACCCCCGGTGGCTTGCTGATGATGTGGTCCAGGGATTCAGGCTGCTGTAGCTGGCTCAGGTCATAGTCCTGGAGGGACAGATGGAGTGTGGGTATAGAGCAGCCTGCCATGGCGACCAGACGGCTAGGGTGGGAGGGGGGGACGAGGGACTCACCTGGTCTTCCTCCCCGCCACCCTCCTCGTCATACTTCAGGATGTTATCCCGCACGTCGTCCTCCGGGTCGATCAGCAGTTGCTTGGTCTGCCGCTCCTTCTCCCTGCGCTTCATCCACACCACGAAGAGGAGCACCATGGCTGAAGGAAGACACCCACAGAGGGCTCAGAACTCCATATCCCAGCATGTACCTATTACAAAATTCTGAAGCCCTAAAAAACTAGTGCAGTGGCGCCAGAAAAATGACTGATCCTGCCCTCTGACCACGAATCTTTGCTCTCACCTGGTTCTGTGTGCCTCATTAGAGAGTAAGATGGAATATATATGAAAAACGAAAGGACCTGCATTCCTTCTTGTACAACAGCCAAATGGCCAATATCATCAGGACAGTTATACCGGGGCCACAACGACGCAGACTCACAGGAAGACATGGACCGCTAATGCCTCACACAGCCCTGCCTTTACATCTCCACACACACACGCACGCACACGCACGAGCGGGTTTACCTATCCTTATGGGGACACAATGTGATGAATATCCGTTTTTTTTCCCTTACGGGGACTGGTTTCCTGGTCCCCATAAGGGAAAACTTATTTTATAAAAATCGGTGACTGCTATGAAAAAACTAAAAATGCAAAAACTCTTGTATTTTGTTTGGTTACTTATGGTTATGGTTAGGGCAGGGTGGGGGTTAAGGCTGTCATAGTTAGCGTTAGCATTTTTCCCATTGAAATGAATGAGTGGTCCCCATAAGGATATTTTTACCCTACACGCACACACACGCACACACACACACACACACACACACACAAAGACCTGCTGGACAAACCGAATCAGGAGAGGAATAAAATGGACTTGGAAAATGCTATTTTCTGATAAAAGATCTCACGTGCATTTAAAGTACATCCCTGGTCTCCATTTAGCAAGCATAATGAACTGACACACTATCACAATAGGACATTTGGGGTTTAATACACTGATAAAGAAGAGTGAGGGGGCAAGAAATTTATATATATATATATACACACACACAGATATATATACATATATATATAAATGTTTGTATATATAAGTTGTTACTTATGCTTGATGGGGAAAGAGCCGCTATACTAATTACAGCAGCGTGTGTGGCAGTGCAGTGAGGAGCCTGGGGAGGGCGCCCTCTACTGGGGGCCCAGCGCTGCATCAGTGCAGTGAGGCAGGGGTGCACGGCTGCCTCTGCCTGCATTTGAGACGTGCTGCTGCGGCTCCCACAGCCAAGAACAGGCGCCGTGCTCTAAGAAGCGGCCTTTTCTGACTGTTCATCTTAACGACAATGACAGAGCCTGGAAAACCCAGACAAGCCGCCTCTAAAGAAATGCCTGTATACTGATAGCAAAAAGATTAAGAGCACTGAAGTGAAATTCGGCCTGCGTCTGCAGGTGTGTGCTGGTGTGTGCTGGTGTGTGCAGGTGTGTGCCCACGTGCCTGTTCCCTGTGCCCCGAGTGTTTGTTCCAGTGTATGCCTGCATGCCTGCTCACTGTGCCCTGTATTTTTGTGCAGGCGTGTGCCCGTGTGCCTGCTCCCTGTGCCCNTGTGCCTGCGTGCCTGCTCCCTGTGTTTGCGTAGTTGCCGCAGCCACTCACTGAGCAGTATGATGATGCAGATGAGGATGGCGATGATGGCTCCAGTGCCCAGGCCGGCCGCCGCCACGGCCCCCACGGTGGTGCAGTCCCCGTTCTCGTCACATGGGCACACCTTCACCTTGATAACGGACCTGTTGGACAGAGGTGGGTTCCCCGAGTCGGACACGATCACCGGCACATCGTACACGCCGGACTCCAGGTACTGGATGCGCAGATTTAGCTGGGCGTAGTCACCTGGGGGGTGGGGGAGGGGTGGTAAACACAGGGATCCGACTGAGTTTAAGGACAGTCTAAATGTGCACTCCACTCAGAAGTGCTGTCACAACAGTAAGAGTTTCGCCGTAATGCACCTGAGATGCATTTGAGCGGCTGATTGGCCGGTGATTTAGAAAATGGCTCAGAGTGGCCTTGGGCCTTGGTGGGGGCGGGGCCTCACCGTTCAGCCGGGAGATGGTCCAGTTGCGACGCACGCTGGAGGGGAAAGCAGGCAGCTCGAAGATGAAGGGGCCCACGTTGGGGTCGACATCAGCGTCGGCGGCCGTGATGTTGATGCCGTGCGCGCTGATGCGCTCGCAGATCTGAGCCTCCTTGGGCAGCAGCTCGGGTGCGTTGTCGTTCACGTCGATCAGGTAGATCTGCAGCGTTCCCGTGCCGCTAGCTGGGGGAGATCCTGGGGGGCAGGAGGAGGGGGAGGGCACAGTAAGGAAAGCTGATCTGCTGGGAAGTGGGCCGTGAGACAAACGCAGCCCCCTGCCATGGCTGTAAACTAGCCACACTGGGCATTTATCTAGGAAGTGGGGGGGTCGGGGGGACAGGTGACTGCCCTTTTCACGCCATGGCCCAGGTCTCCCCCCTCTGCCCTTCCCCCTGACAGATTGAGGCCCGCTCCCCAAAGCGGGAGGGAGGGGGGCTCACATGACCTCACACAACCCAAAGAGTGCAGTTCAGCCAGCTGGGAGGGGAGGGAATTTTTCTGCTGGCAAAGAAAACAATTCACGGTCCATTTTTTTCCACAAAATACATTATTTGCCCTGAAAACAGTGGTGACAAACACTCTGAAAACAGGACGCGGGGTAAATGTTTCCCTGAACTGCGTTTTTCTGCCTCTGAGGAATTGCCTTCTCCCCTCTAATTGCTGTGCCACCGCATTTCTGTGTGGCACGGCAATCTCCTCCTGACAGCGGGCATTTTTTTCCCCTCAGTACATGGCAGACAAGCCCCCACAGTCAGATTTCCATTTGCATTGATTGAAGAGAACAATACCGACGATTGGTGCCGCACGGGGGGCGCAGTGGGGGCGGAGCAAAATGAGCACCGAGGCAGTGACCAATAGGAGAGGAGCAGTGAAAGGACAGAATGCGGTAAGGCTGCAGCTGGAGTCGATCCACAGCACCTCAATGGCATTCGCGTCTAGAGAAAGTTTCAGCTCAGATCGTTTATTGACCGGAGAGTCGACGAGGAGCCGCAGTCAGTCAGCGTTAGTTACAACAATTTCATGGTGGAGCCCTACATATTCCTAAGTGGGCAAATTCGGGCAAATAACATAATTCTTGATTAGAATAAGGAGAATATAATTAAAAAAAACTTCATGCAGAACCATCATATTCAGAATTAATTTTTTGCAAAAGAAAAAATGTTTTTCTTTTTTTAGATGTTCAGTTTTGCTATTATTCTTTAGCTTTAAATAGCTGAAACAGTGACAAACTATGTTACACATGGCAATAAATAGAGTGTAAGTTTTGTGGTTCAATCTTTAAATTAATTGGGACACACTGTGAGGTGTTACCAGTTAAAATAATTTTGATGGTTTTGGCTTCAGAATGCCTCAGAAATGTTTAGCCAACATTAGACTCACGAAATGCAGAATTTGCCCCCGGGGGGCACTTCTCAGTACAGCTTGTTGTGCTGAACACAGTGGGATTTGTGGCCATGGGAGGAGGTCAGAGAGATACGACGTTCCTAAGCTGGTCTACTAACTTTCAGTGGAACACCGTCTGTTCAGTTGTTTCAGCTTATCTCACTGCACACTGGTCTGATGTACTTGGTCCTGGAGGGACCCACATGATAGGAAGATGGGAGAAGGGGAGGAACTCTATTTGGGGACAGAAGCGACGACGGGCCCCGGGACCTGGCTCTGAAGTGAATGTGCTTGTCACCTGACTAACACCCCCCACCCCCCCTTCTGGTTTATTACGCATATCCCACTTAATCACACTGCATGTACCCACAATTATCTCAAGCCACATTCTCAAGCATTACTAAGTTTTCAACTTGTAAATAATTATGTTGGTGCACATTCCTCAAAAGGATTTGTAAAATATTAAAGGATTTATTACATTTTTGCAGGATACTGCTTCAAAGGGGTCAGAAGAAAACGTCTCCAGCAGTCTTTCACACATTTGTTCACGTAAAAAAAAGAGAAAATGCAGGTTAAGACCAACTATTTATAGGTACAAAGAGGCGATTTTTTAAAATGCTGTGCCAAACGGATTACGACAATGATGGCTGGGATTTTAATATATTTTTGACAGTGTTTACTCTCCAAATGCCACCACCCCCAGCCTCTATTACCATAATCCCCTTTGCATTATCGCTGGTGACACTCCCACTACACCCAGACTGTCTGCACACCCGTCGCTAATTCACCAGTTAATGCGACTCACGGCCGCATTTCACGCAGGGGGCAGAGGAATCGGCTCCAAACTCCCCGAAGTGTGAGCTCGTATCTCCGCGGTGGACAGCCGCAGCCGTCCCTTTCAAGCACGCATCTCTCTGCCTGAGAGTCCTCACACGCATCGCCTGTCCCTCATTAAGCAGCTGCAGCGCCTCTGAAACGCTGGTGAGGCGGCGGACAGGACGAACGGAGCGCCGGGCGAAGATCCCCGCGGGCGTGCTCTTCAAAGCGCCACCGCTGCTAACTTGCGCTCTTAAGTGCAAGGGAAAGTCTCCGTCGCTAATGCGATTTGCGCGATAAAAGCGCGCCTGCTAGGCTATGTCTTTCCCACAACCGAAATGCAGAGTCGCTCATCATAAACACCCGCAACAAGACATCCCACCTTGAATGAGGGTAGTGATGTCCGATTCGTGAACAAATCATTATTTTTAACCAGGTCTTTTCAGAGAATCGTTTAACTGCTTTTCAAACTTAAGAGAATCTAACTTGTAGATCCTCGCGTGGTACAGGTACACATCTTAGATCCTAAAAATCTAAAAATATTTGACAAACTGACATATAAGAAACACACAGCAACCTTTTTAAATTCACTTATATTTGCTTTCTGTAGACTCTCCATAGCCATATTGCCCTCAGTGCCCCTCCTGGTCAGACAGGGGAACATACACTGGTACAGCGTATTGCTGCCCCCACCACACAACAAAACACCCCGGGATCCTTGGCAACCCCCCAGGTCGACATGCGGTCCAGTCCCACCCTCCATAAATGACCATCCATCTGCCGCAGCCAGGTGTTATGTGGGCGTCCCCTTGGCCTGGTCCAGCCGCTCGGGTCCTCAGCAGTGAGCCGGATCACCCTCAGGGAAACGTGCCACGTGGCCGTAGTGCCGTAACTGACGCTCCCTCACAATGCAGGTAATGTGCCTCATTCGGGACTCCCTGAGCAACCGCTCATTCGACACAAAGTCAAAACAGCGGTACCCAAGGATTCTCCGAAGAGAGACAGTACTGAAGGAGTCCAGTGTTCGTCTCAGCTCACTGGATAACATCCATGTTCCGCATACTGTATTCCTTGGTGTGTGCACTGTATTCGTGCCCCGCTGCACGGTGCCTGTGGATCAGTACACCTGACTCCGGCAATCGACATGTTAGCAAGTTTGTCACGTTCAGTTTAAGACGTTCACTGTAATTAGAAGTTTGGCATTTTGGCAAGTTCTGTTCAAGCGTTTTCTTGGCAAGCCTCGCGAGACCCAAAAGTCACAGAGTGACAGGTTCTGATTATGCTGAAAGTCTACTCGAGAGTTAAGAGATCTGGTTAGTAAATTTGCCGATCTCAGTAGCCTTTGCGAACAGCGTTTGTTGTGCTCTGTATGCTGTGGCTTTGGTGTTGGTTTTTATCCTTTAATGAAAGTTCTGGGAAACTTAGATTATATGTTTGCAAAAAGGTACTCAAAATTTTATTAGGCTTTTGGAGGCTGTTTGTTTATATTTGAAAAGCTAAAGTCTGCTTACATGATTGTATTTCATTTTATTTAGACTAGAAATGATCGATATACATTCACATGACTCGGAGATGACCGATATTTTAATAAAAATAAGATTTTAATAAACATGCATTTTTCAGTCAAAGTAATTGAACAATAGCAATACCACTGATTTTCTTTTCAACCCAATTTCGATTATAAATATTCAGTGCAGGATCTAACCCAAACCCTATTAATTAGGCTACATAACAATCCCTTTTTTTGCCAAGCCTTTCTGCCTTATGGACCGTTTTATTTCCCCAGTCTCTGCCACCCATCACCTCCCCCCCCTCCTCCCCTTATGGGGGTAATCAGAATTTAAATGTATCATCACCGCTATCAAAATCTATATTTTTACGTTCTAATCGATTTTCAAAATGAAACAATTCAGATAGAAAAAAGATGATATTTCAATATCAATTCATCACATCCCTACACCACACAGGACTCAGATAAATGCACCATGGCTCGTTTGCCGAGATTTTGTCCGGATTGTGCTTTGGTTAGACAAAACAAATCACCACGCCATTCCATGCTGTTGAAATCAAGACAGAAAAACTATGTTTCTGGATTGCAATCATATGAGTGGATCATTATACTAAACTCCCCTGTTAATCTGCAAAGCACCTCTCTGGAAATCATGAGCTCAACGCCGCACAGCTGTATCTGATAGGCTGATGTATGCTATCAAATCTTAGAATTTGGTGATCAGTGTTGACACACATTGCACAACAGTGAAATGTGTCCTCTGCATTTAACCCATATGTGACATCATGATATAGCAGGGGGCAGCTAATTCAGCCCCCGGGGAGCAGTGCTTGGGGGGGGTGGCTTGCTGGTTGAGGAGTCAAACCAGCAATCTTTCAATTACAAGTGTGCTCCCTTAACCATTAGGTTGCCACTGCTCATCCATATAAATAGTCCGTATCGATAGTTTACCGAAGTTTCTCATTTTTTTAATGTTTAAATATATTGTTTATATTGGCCAGTCTGTGCGTGTATATGTAATGTCACATGCATTGCTTACCATTATCTGCTGCCAAGAACGTGGCTTCATAGATGTTGTTCTTCACAAAAATGGACTCTCGGTTGAGCATGGCCATCGTTATGATCTGCCCATTGGTTGTGTTGATGCTGAGCCAGTTTGCTGGATCGGAGAGTTTGGAGTACCTAGAGGAAGCAAGAGGATTAGGCACAGATGTAGATGGCTGCTTCACTTCCCCCAAAAATATGCAAATAAACTGGCAAATTAATTTTAATGGAAAGTTGATGTTTGATGCATTTTAGACAGTTTTTAATATGCAAATGGGTCCCTTCCAGTTTGGAATCTTTGTTGTTAGGGTACAAACACAGGAAGTACAGGAACACAAGCACAGCTGTTTCAGCACTTCACTCCATTGCGCGCGCGCGCACACACACACACACACACACACACACACACACACGCTCCATCAACACTGATTAAGCCATACCCAGGAAAAAAAGGGCATATAAAAGAGAAAATGCTGCTGCAACCTTCACATTGTTAACACTCCCATCAGCTCCTGTTCCTCTGCCTCCAGTCTGTAGTCAATTTTCGCTCATTTTCTACTCTTCAGTACAACTTATCGGAACCAATTACGTCTTCTCTTTAACACATGGGGGCACAGTGAGGACAAAGGAAGTGCAAATAGAATAGAAGAAGGTAAATCATCTGGGGGATTTGGACAGATTTCTCCTGCATTCCAGAGGGGATGTCGAGGCTCTTTTGCCCCCCAAAGCAGGACTGCCTCCCAGTTTGCACCATCTATTCATCTTCCCCTCTATCGACATTAATCTGCTCCTTTATCCAGACTGCTGGTAATGGGCTACACTCTGTCCCACAATCCCTCAGTGGAGGCAGGGATGCACCACGCACCGCCACCAGAGGGCAGCTTCGAGGCCAGAGCCACAAATAGTCACAGTGATGGCATATAACGGGCAATGCCGCTATTCCCAGGTCACCTGACCCAGATGGGGTGGAGGTTGAATAAACCCTGGAGCCAGAGACAGATTTGACCTGAAACGTGGCAGGGTGCATGGGGCACACGACCAGGAGGACGTCCCCTCCTTAACCACAGGTGGTTCCGCGTGATGGCCCGCTCCCTCCCCCGCACAGCATGCTGGGTAATGCTCGCATGCCCAGATCCCTGCATTGGCACGTGCCTGTGTCTAAGTAGGACGCTGCCTGCAAGGCGGGAGCTGCTCCCCCCACTCGCTCCTCTGCCAGGCAGCACCCACCCTTTGGGGGACGAGCTAGTGCCCATCACAGGCCCCGTGGCTGTGCTGCTCTTCAGCTCCCCCTGTTGGCCATGCCCTCCCAACACACTATGCCCCTCTATGCCACCACAGACACACGAGACTTTGTATTTATACGCAAAGCGTGTATCTGGAGTGCCATCATTCCACGTTCTTTTACGCATTAAATGTCAAATGGGTAAATAAATGAGCAGTCTGCAGGGTTTCCAGATTCATTTCATATCTGCACTCAGGCCAAACTCCACTTTCCATAATCCACTTCTCCTTCATGCTGTTGTCCACAACAAGGAAGACGTCCTTCCTCCAGGGACTTGAAAGAACAGTCTTACTTACTGTTGGCTATGGCTGCTACTTAATCTATGGAATAATGATATTGATTCCCATGTAAAGTCTCTTGGGGGGGGGGGGGGGGGGTTTACTCAGGGGCTTAATGTTGGCATCAGTGAGCCAGGCCGGGGGTTTGAACTGGCAACCTTCTGGTCACAGGGACCCACGTCCTCACCTGCTGAGCCACACATCACCCCCCAACCTGCAAAATTAAAATTGTCTGTCGCTAAAACAATGCCGATTGTTACCTAAACAAATGGATGCTTGTCTGTTTATTTATTTATTTATTTTTAATCACACTCGGTGAGGTGATTGTTCCCGGCGACACAGTGTGTGTGGGTGCTGACTGCAGGACGCCAAACCTCATTAGCCGCTATCAAATCATGAATGCTTAATTTTCCAAATTCATTTGCAGAGTTGCGAACCCAGAGCTCTTCGGAAGATGGCTAACGGTACAACATGGCGGAAAATAAAAATAAAAATGGCCAGGAAGCACAACACCACCGCTGAGCATCTACACCGTGGGGGCATTTGTAATACAAGCAGGAAAATACTTGTCATGTGCCCTGTCTGGGAAAAGTGTTACTACGGCATTCTCACCTGCACAGACAAAAACCGGAAACCAATTCTTTCAGTTTGTTTAAATTCCAGTTATGAGCTTACGTCTTCGATAGAGCACTTGTGATTTAGAATCAAAGTCGAATTTGGAAACATTCTGAGGAATAATATTTGAACTGTTTTTGAATTCCCCATTTCCCTGGATGATGATATTTCACCAGAAATAATTTGTTTCTTCAGTTTTACAGCTTGGGATATTAAGCAGGAGCAGCATGACTGCCGTAAACTGTATTTTACAAGATCACAAGGAGTTCATCGGTGATGAAACCGAGGAAAGCACAACCTTCCTAACGACAGGAAAGACCCTCTGGATGAGGATGGCAGGGAGAAGAATCTGCATTTATATTCAGCAAGAGAAGCAATTTATTGCACTTTTATCTGTTTATCTAATTCTCTTTGCAACTCTGACTAGGATAAGAGGCTGGAGGATAGATGGATGGATAGATAAAATTGGATGGATGGGAAAAAAATATGTGCAAATTATTCCCTTGTGCAGAAATTTAACAGTTGCCATTTATAGGACACTGGGTATCAGTATTGTTTGCTATTTACTTAGTCACTGATGTCATGCAGGGCTACACACTTCATAGTTTGGTTTGTACCAGGCCAGTGTGTACCAAAGGGTTAGGAAATGTGTGTGAAAGGTCTTCAGCTGCTGCTTTTTTTCTTGGAGTCCGTGCCCTCAGCTTTTGGTGCCATAGTAAACTACACGCCACCTGCTCCCCTTGGATATGCCTGCTGAATAACTGGAACAGGAAGCTGCACGGCATTCTGGGAAGGTTGCTGGCAGAAAGATAAAGACAAACATGAGGAGTTTATCTACCTCTCTGGTGAAAGGGCCGGGAGAGGGCAGGGGTCACTTGGTGAGCCCTCACCCTGGCGCCATGTGGACCTGCCCACGTGGGCCTGTTTCAAGCAGAGGATTGTGGGATTTACCGACTTCCCCTGCTCTTCACGGTCTGGCTTATTTGATGATGGGGAGCTCTAAGTAGCCTCTGTCAGAGAATGAAGAACTGCTTTGCTTGATTTGCAGCAAAATATATAAAGGAATACTCAGAACCTTTGCCGGGGGCTGTGGTCCAGCACGAGAATATATATTTTATACCCCTTGCCAAGCTTGACTGTTCCATGAGGCTCTGGAGTTTTCTTCCACCCCCCCCCCCTCACCCTCTGATGTGTGTTGAACCCATCCATTCCTGACACATGCCCCCCAGGGCTCTTTTTTCTGGACAACACCATTTAGTCGGGCGCTGCAGAATGTAACAAACATTTCAGGCTGGGGTGTGGCAGGAAGATGAACTGAAACACTCAACTAGAAAAGAAACAGGAAATAGCTAAACTTCGCTAATCGGATCTCAGTGAACATGCTAAATTCCTTATTCATCTCAAAAGTGTCAGATCAGATTATTCTAAATAAACCTGAATTCATGCTTTTTTTCCCCTTATAGCGTTATAAACTAGGCTAATTATCCCCAAGCACAATTCTTTTACTGCGCTGCGCTCACATTCAACCAGCAGGATAATTACAAGAAATTACACGCATCCGGCTCGCTTGGCCAGATGTAGCAACTTTCTGTCCCCCACCCCAGGTTTCACCTCCCACAGCCAATTCACTTTACTGCTGAAAAACATACAGGAGGCAAGAAAAAAAAAATCAGCAAAGTGATGACAGGAGCCCTCGTATAAATAGCACAGACCTGCCAAGTCTGGTGCTGACCTGCAAATTGAATGGAGGCAGAGCTGAGTGGGGGCAGCCGTGTGGGAGGGAACACGGCCGGCCAGCGCCACCTGCACCCCGTGTGCCGTTACTCAGCATGCCCAGCAGGGGGCGCCTACATTTCCTAAATTGAAATGTTCACCTGATTTACTCTCGTTCGCTGTGAAATTAAGCAGCGGATCTGTTTAGCTGCGTTTCTGCTCGGAAAGGGGTGAGAAGGCGAGTCACGCAGGTTCGACCCCGCTGGCGGACACCCGTGCCAGATCTGCAAGGCTGACACCTACGGCGTTACTTTGTCGCATGAGCTCACTAATTAATCCAGCTTTCTGGAGGCAGTGGTGTCAGTCTCTGGGATGGGATGGGAGGGGGTGTCAGGGCTCAGAGAGTCGTGTGTCAAACAGGAACTTAAACAGTCTTAGTGTAAAATAGCACCCAGACCACGGTCCTGCATTTATTACACATATCAGACACAGATTCACTGGCGAAAACAGCTTTACAAAGCTGTCCTCTCTACGCCACAGTCACTAATCTGTCAACTTTTATGGCCAGTCCATGGGGACGCCGAATAGTAACAATTGCTTGAGCCTTTCAGTACACAGATATCTGTGCTTAGCCTACTGTAAATCCTGGAGGGGTGTGCATGCGTTTCTCCCTGAATCTGAGAATAGGACACTCTGTGATTGCTATAATTAAAGGTCCATCATCTTTACTGCCATTCAAGAATGCTATCTATCCACTTCCACTTCCCAGCTCTAGGAAGCACAGTAAACAAGGCAAGGGGCACCATGTTGGTACATACAGGCTACTAACTGTGGGTATATTTGGGTGTTTTCACACTTGGCCCCTGTCAGCCCTCAAAACAAATTCAAGTAATTAGTCAGCATTTTTTGTGCATTTGTGAACACTCCAAACGAACTCAGGCCCCCTTGAAATAAACCGAACTCTCTCTCGCTTTTCTCAGTTTGGTTCGCTTCAAGTCCGCATTGCGGTTCACTTAACCTGTGCATTGTGAACACAAAGTGCACCAGATGTGCTTCACTTATTGCCACTGTATTTCAGCACTGGGAAGCTCAAACAAAGATAAACAGACTGAACCATGGCCGCTGGTAATGACAGTGTGAACAGAAAGAGGACTGAGGCCCCAACAGAGCTGAAGCGGACCAGAAAAGGAATTGACTCCTCCTTCAATCGAACTCACAATGTGAACATAAAAACAACTGACTCCCTTTTCTGCAGGTCCACTTTTGTGTTCCACTTTCAAAGGACTTATTTAAAAAGGACTACATGTGAACACACCTTTAGAAACATCTTTTAGTGGAAATCGCATCCCATGCAAACAGAAAAACACGCATCTTGCTGCACCTTGACTGGCAGGACTACACTCCTCCATCCCAATTATTAGTCAGATTGCAAAAACCCTGCATGTTAAAACTCAGAAGCTTTCACTCAAATTTTATCATTCTTTCTAATTCTGTCTGTTGGGAAACAGGTCTACTAATCAATAACTCTAACAGCAACACTCATGTTTGTGCTAAACTGCAGTATGATTCAGGGAGCGACTGCACTGACACCTTCCATCCATCCCATAATCCTTCTCTCCATTTGTGTCTTATTTAAGGGAAGATACCAGCATTGTGCCCTAGCACAGTCAAACACGGGAGGAGTGCAGGGCTGGGGGTGTTTTAGCCGTAGCAGGATGAAAGCAGAGTATCTGGAGGTAACCTAAGCGAACACAATCCCCACAAGCTGGGAGGCGGCCAGGCAGCAGGGCTCCGCCTTTATTACGTCTGTGTCTGAGGTGTAAACTGAAGATACGACCAACGAGAAGATGTGCCTGTGTGGGCTCTCCATGCTCACATAGATCCGCCAGGCAGAAGACTGCAGTCTGGCAGACCACTGGGGCACCACCAGCTATGCCAGCTACACGCTACCGGGCGGCACTGGGAGACACTGGGGACCTTTGGCAGGATTGTCTGGAGGCGCCCTGCAGACTCCCCGAAATCGATTCACAAACCTCACCTCAGTCTCGGGCTTTATTTTACAGAAAGAAATGTTCAGTAAAATGTTTACATTCCTTCATAAGGTGGTATTGACTCAGTAATCTTGGGGCCTGCTGTGGATTCCCAGCCCGCACTGAAGAGAGATATGGGGGATATTGAAATGCAAACTTAATTTAAATTTAGTGAATTATTTTAAATGTACCGTATTTTATGGAGTGGTGGCAGGGTGTAAGTGGACCATCTGGCATGAGAGGAGAGCTGCCTGACGTCCACAGGCCGCTCAGGACATGCACACGCATAGGAAGCAGCTCGGCTGCCCGCTATAGCCTGTGGAGCACCTTTGTGGAGCTCCACACACGTAGCTGAGGAACAGCACGACACCCAGACTGTCCGCGGGCACAGCTGCTTCTGTTTGTGCTGGTAAACAGCTTATTTTGTCATAGCTCGCACCTGCCATTAAGTTTGTATTACCTCGCTTTAATAAAAAGGCAATTCAGAATTTATTCAGAAGTTTTTACTTCTAACGGAATATCAGCCTCTGTCAGCAGGACCATGACACAGCTGTTATCCTTCACTTGAGCCACATTATGAATAAAAATGACTAGAATTCCTAAGGTTAGCACTTTGCACAGAGACAACTTATTATTATAGAAGGGAAGTATTAAATATCCTCATTAAAATGTAATTTGGAGACTGATGACCAGTGTTTATTAGCGAGCACCCTAACTGCATGCGTAATTACCTAGACAGTAGGGGACAACACGAAACTATTACAGCCTCTACCTCAGAATCTGCCGAAATAAAGTCACGTCCCCCACTACGAGCTGCTTCCTGTGAACAGCGTCCTGCGGGGGGGATCGACTTTATGCATTAAAGTTTATAATGTCACAGAAAAGGTGGCAAATTAGTTTTATAAGATTCATTTTACGTAGAGCTCATCCTCTGTAAATGATTTTTTATTACAGCCTAATTTATTAGTGAATATATTAATTTAATTACATTTTTTACTGGAGATTGATAGAGATTAAGCAATTGCTTCGATATGTGATGGAGGCTACCTGCCATCAAAACTGCTGAGAATCTGTTGCTAGCTACCAAACTTTCAGGTGTTAATATTTAAATGATCTGGCTACCAAGCACCAGCAGTATTACCAGGTTATTAGTCAGATGTGAGGATGGAACATTATCTAGCCTAAGCAGTCGCAGAAACCGATTTACCCAACGACACTGGGGAATTTTCCAAGTCATTGCTTTCCTGTGATTGTTTATCACTCTTACAGGTGAAAATCACCAATCTCTCTGCAGCACCTGTAGATCTGAGTATTTTGAAGCTGCACACACAAGAAAAATACATAGTAATATTGTCAAGGTGACAGTCCTCAGAAGCCTATATATAACCCAGCCTGGGAGTGAATCCCCAAAGCTCCTCGAGTGCTGAGAGCAGCACTCCATGGCAGACTCATGGATAACAGCAACAAGCAGCATAATCTGGCCTTGGTGGCTGACGAGGAAGCCGGATTTGTGTGGTTTCCAGCCGTCTCCTGCGGCTGCATTTGGAATGAGGGGAGGCCCCGGGATCGCGATAGCCTACCTGACTATCTGCTGCATGAAGCGGTCGGGGTCGTTGGCGGAGAAGGTGGTGAGCGTGGTGCCGGCGGGCACGCCCTCCTCGAAGCGCACCAGCTTGGGGTTGGACGGAAAGAACGGCGGCTCGTTGATGTCCACCACAGAGATAGTGACCCCCGCTGTGGACTGCAGGGATGACTGTATGCCGCTGGCCAGGTGAGCCTGGTTGGACACCACCACGGTCAGCATGAAGGCCCGGTTCATCTCGTAGTCCACCGGCTGAGAAGCAGAAGCCAGAGTTAGAGTGAGGCAGAATGAACACTAAGTCAGAGGGGAGATTAAAACAAGGGGGCTGGAAGAGAGGATCTTGTGCAAAAAAACAGCGAGAGTACAGCGGGGAACACAGGGAGAGAACAGGTGGAGAACTGGCAGAGAACAGGTGGAGAACTGGTGGAGAACTAACGGAGAACAAGCAGAGAACCTGTGAAGAACTAGTGGAGAACAGATGGAAAACAGGCAGAGAACTGGTGGAGAACAGGTACAGAACTAACGGAGAATAGGCGGAGAACTGGCAGAGAACTAGTGAACAGGTGGAGAACAGATGGAGAACAGGCAGAGAACAGGGGGCATAACGTGGGGGGAGAATGAGAAAGCAGAGAAGGTGGAATTTTTGGGTTGGAGCAACGGGGATGAAAGAGATGGCACATGGGAATAGCATGTGACACAATGGCGGAATTAGATAAAGGCCATATGGGGGGGGGGCAATTCTCAGGGAAGCAGTGCGGTATCAAAATAAATATGTAGTGTACAGAAGGATAAAACAGCAGTAGTGGGATGTGGGGAGAGAGATGTTTAGGATGCTGAGAGCGCTAAAATCGGGTGTTAAAGGGTGGGGGGGGCAGCTTGTCCTGCTGGAACATGGCCCAAAATTACAGCCCTAAAAGAACCAACCCTTTACTGAACCCTGAGGGGCACACTGTTTTTGGGGTGTTTCACGTCAAGCCTCCTCTTCAGCAGACCTTCATAAATTCTAGTCTCCTACCTACTCAGAACACCATGTTTTGAGAACATATTAGCTCCATTTACACTGAACTTAAAGGATGTGATGACATGAAAACAAAATAAAAAATTTTCAAAAGTTCAGTCAGTGAGGTGACTGCTGACTAAAATGTCTAAAATTAGGAAATGACTTAGTTTTAGAGACCTTTTACGACATTACCTGTAATCTCCTTTAAACACTGATTAGTTCTGGCGTATTTTAAATATTCATAACAGTCATGACATCTCCATACTCATAGTGGGGGAGAGAGACGCGATGTCATTCCACACTGTGGCCTGACGGCCGCTCTGACACTTGACGATAAAGTGATGCGACGTTTTTATGTCGCTTTTAATGAAGACGTTGGGATTAAATAAAGAAAAGCATATTCTCATCACGGTAGCACACTGACGATGATTACAGTTACGGCCGTAGCTTCGGCTTGACTTCATTGCTGACAATAACAATTTGGCATGCATGTGCGCTCAGGCTGTGTTAGCATTTAAATGCTGATTATAATGGACAGGGCAGTGGTATAAAGAGCTATGCTAAATAAGGCATGATGGTTGATGGGTGTTGGGGACCGAGAGACGTCAAAGTCGGCAGAGCCTGCGATCATGGAGGCCCAGCCTGGTGCTGGGTTTTGGGCGATGAGTCAGCCACGGTCTGCAGCTATGATCCACAGGCTGCTGGCGCTGGGGCCGGGGGTGTCGCTCAACGGGAAGACTGTCGATTTACTGCCCAGTTACCAGGCTCTGGTAGGAGGGACATTCAGGCAAAGGCTCCCTAGCAGTGCATGAGGGATATACCTGCAAACCACCTCCCACCTCTATTTATCCCATGGATGTTGACCGCAACATGACCGCACTTGAGTTCTCAT